TAAGTTCTTGAGATCTCGGGGGTCAAAGTGACCCCCAACCGAGCGAAAGGTATCTAGCCGGCCACCCGGGCGGGTGTTAAAGTTATCGTTCACATTTCGCACCTGTCTGTGCCCCTGGGAGTGTTCGAGTTGTTTAGCGGCGGCACGTGACTGCATCTGCAGGCAGTTCGGTGGATTTTACGCCCAAGGACTTACACGACATTGTGCACAACTCTGAAGCTGTTCCAGATGCAGCACTCCTGATTACAAGCTGGAAGAACGGTGATGAAACGTTAGAACCGTGTTGTTACCGGAGGCTGCGAGCTAATTTATGTGACCTGAATTGTCGGCTCGCGCAAACAGTGGAACGAATTGCCTTTGCTGACGATGCGTTCAAGCGGAAAGCCCGAACTTGGTCTAACTTTTTGTTGTCTTGCAATCGCATTTAGCTCTTCCGTCCTTTCGGATCATTTCGAACGCGATGGGTTAAAGAAGATGGAGAGCTCAGAGCTGCACAAATTAAGGCCAGCGTCGAGGCGCAATGAGAGTGCCCTCCGGTGGTGACGTCGACAACAGCGACGCATGCTCGTGTGGCACTTGACTGGACGCCGGGCAGCCACCGGTCAAGCGTTCTCAGTCTTCCCATCGGCCACAAAAGGTCGCCGTACGTCGATACATATGGGACCATTGTTTCGTGTGCGGACGGCGAGCATTATGCCGAGCACAAGACCCACGAAGGCACGATTGTTTTTGTTCTCAAGAGTTTCGAACATGACTCGGGGTATGTCGGCGTTTCAGGCCGATGCAAGCCGGTCCGTCCCGGTCCGTTCCGGACCGTCCCCGACAGTCTGTTCTGGAGCCCAGATGCTGGTCAGAACGCTCCCTTGACGTGCTGCGGGCGATTGGCGAGGGTCTCGGGGCACCAACTCGAACACTGCTGCTCACCCGCAGCCAGCCGCCAGCCGGTCTGCTGGCAGGCTGAGCGCCTGCTCCCAGCCGTCTGAGGCTCGCCCCAGCCAGCTGCCAGCCAGCCTGCTGGGAGCCGGAGAGCCTGCTCCCAGCCGTCTGAGGCTCGCCCCAGCCAGCCGCCAGCCAGCCTGCTGGGAGCCGGAGCGCCTGCTCCCAGCCATCTGAGGCTCGGCAGTCGGATCAGTCGTCAGCCAGCGTGTTCGGAGCCGGAGGGCCTGCTCCCAACCGTCTGAGGGTGCTCGGAGCCAGAGCGCCCGCTCCCAGCCATCTGAGGCTCGGCAGTCGAATCAGTCGTCAGCCAGGGTGCTCGGAGCCGGAGGGTCTGTCCCCAGCCGTCTGAGGATGCTCGGAGCCAGAACGCCTGCTCCCAGCCATCTGAGGCTCGGCAGTCGAATCAGTCGCCAGCCAGGGTGCTCGGAGCCGGAGGGCCTGTCCCCAACCGTCTGAGGGCGCTCGGAGCCAGAGCGCCCGCTCCCAGCCATCTGAGGCTCGGCAGTTGAATCAGTCGCCAGCCAGGGTGCTCGGAGCCGGAGGGCCTGCCCCAACCGTCTGAGGGTGCTCGGAGCCGGAGGGCCTGCCCCAACCGTCTGAGGGTGCTCGGAGCCGGAGGGCCTGCCCCGAACCGTCTGAGGGTGCTCGGAACCGGAGCGCCTGCTCCCAGCCGTCTGAGGCTGGGAGCAGGATGAGTTCACTCCCAAAGCCCCTCAGCGGATCTGTCGGTTATCCTGCTTGGCGGCCGCTCGTTCAAAGTTGATCTGAGTTTTATCTTTACCAAGGAGTAAATTCAGTCCCTACCCTTTTATTCTCCTACAGGGTGTCAACATGTGTAGGGTACGCTTGCCACACAAGTGTACTGCTGGGGTGAGATCAAAATGTTTTCGTGGTGGGGCCCCGGGGGCGCTGGGCCTGGCCCGGCGGCCCCTGCCCCGACCCCTGCAGCCGTGCCCGCTCGTTCCGGCACGGCGCTCTGGCAGCGGCAGCGGCGGCGGCGGCGGCGGCGGCGACGCAGTGCCCCGGGGACACGGCACGTGCAGCCCGGATCGATGCAGCCTGCCCGGTGGCGGTCGACACTGCCGGGGCCAGGTAAACCGGGCGGCGCGGCGGCCAGCGCCGACGGCGCGCCTCGCCGCCCGCCGCCCGCCTGTGACCATGCCCTGCTCCGCAGACGTGCTATGGATGGCTAGTGCACCGTACCGTGGCAATAGTAGCGATGCTTTGCGACTGGGCTTCGTGTTACATTTAAGCATAAGGTTTCAGCGTATGATTTTGGGTGTTATGACGGCCTTCTTGGTTGTTAGCTTTATGTTGCAATGGATATGCCGTGTTTTGGATTTAACATAAGCACGCATATGTAAGCAGTGCTACGTGAACAAACAACCTGCTCCAGAAAATGGGGCCGACGTTTTAAGTAAGGCAGCGAACGGCCGGACGGGCGGACGGTCTGTGGGACGGGGGGGGGGGGGAGCAGCTTTTAGCGCTCTGTTTACATAAAACGCATCGTTGTTGCTAGTTACGTTCCATTCAATGTGTGTAAGCCACTAAATGTGCTACTACCTAAATGTGCTACTACCACGTAAGCCACTAAAATGTGCGAATAACCAGTTATAGACATGATTTAATTTGCACGATACGACTTTCACCACCATAGACAAAAACGTCCGTCCATGGTAGTCGACAAATAACATGCCCGTAGCCCACCTGAACAGAATATCGTTTTCATCTGGAGAACAAGTGAGTGGGAAACGCAAACGTCAAGGGGAATCGGGGAAACGACTGGACCTGCGACTGATGCGGGACAGAATAGAAGTGTATGGAAGCTAGACGGGCATTCAGTGTGATCAGACATCATCAAACACAGCCAAGGAGACCTGCGAGTTTCTTGCAACACACTTCGAGACCCAAGACATGTCATGTACCGGCGCTTTGATGCGAGCCGTCTTCATATTCCACGGACTTTGTTCCGGGTAATTTTTGTCTGTCGGATGCTTGAAGGGACCAGTGTACGAAAGCAACTGAAAAGCCTACTCGTGAGATGAAAGAGTGACGGGAGAGTGGAGACCATCCTAGCAGGGACATGCCAGGGCGCCCTGTCACTGCACATGCTGTGCGCACATCTGCATGAAGAAAGATGTGCGCACAGCTGATATTTCTGTCATGTGCCATCGACAGAATAGAGCCATGAACGCTATACCTACACTTAGGTTTTGGGCGCGTGTTTGCGCTGTGCTGTTGCGAGGATTCATTTTTTTCTGCAGCTATTAAACAAGGCACTACGGATGTTTTATATCATTTCCCCCTTCCGTCTCGATGCTTCGTCTGTTTTTCCGTTTTTTAACCCCAATGCATATTAACACATATACAAAAGCTGGCGCATGAACTTAATCAATTGCTATTGGTCACTACTTGATGCCATAATGTTCAATTTTGTAACGCAAGGTGACAATGATCTAGAATTCAAATCCCAATTTACTTAACGAAGCAATGAGGATACTAAAATTTAGGAGGCATGACATTACATCACATATGCTGGACGAAGTTAACAAGGTGGTGTTGAAAACTCCTGCAGTTTCCTTGGCAGTGACTCACTCGTGACTCTTGATTACGCATCTGTTGGCCGCGACATCGGCATCTTGGTGTCCAGGGTAATCCAGAGATTTTCTCCTCTCTCGGTAGCCTCTAGGTCTCGAAGGAATCTTAGCGTTCTTTCCAGACTCACCCCTTTGCAGCTTAGAAACCCAGTCCCGAAATCAAATGAGACTTAAATCAACACGTGCTTAAAGATTCTTTGGGCTTATAAGCTACATATGATAAATTTGCATAATGAGAAAATGTTACCTTTCAGGGCTGGATGTCTTACTGCCTCGCGGCCCTTCCAAGTCTTCTAGCAGATTCGATGGGGTATGTTATAGGCGCCGAGAGCTTCTACGCATGAATATAACTAAATCCCATCGAAAAATTGTCTCTGCCTAAGGGATCAAGTGCATGCACAAAAGCGTTTTTCCATTTTCGAAGGTCACTTTGTGGGATTTTGTAGGTCCTTTTGAATAGTTTTGTTCCGTAAGTTGAGACAGCAAGGGGGCGGTACATATCTAGCCATCACCGGAGCGACAACGGAGTTAGTTCCGCTCTCGGGCTGACTCAGCAGCTAAACACAGGAAATAATCACGTTTCCTCGTGGTAGCAAAGGGGTTCGCAATGCTAGTAAACATTTACAAACCGATTTACGCCCGGAAAATTTAAATGCAACTCGTTCGGTGCGGGGCAGCGCTGCCCCCCCCCCCCTACCGCACCCCCACCCAACGCCCCCTTTAAAATGGGTCCCTGCCGTTCAGATAAACAACCACGCGTGCGATATGTGGCATCTTAAAGAGGTGATCATGTGTAACCATTTTGTTTTCCATTTGCAAAAACTTGGTCACTGCTTGGGTAGTGTAAAAAGACACTAGAGCGGTTGCATCATCTCACGCACAACAGAGCCGGCTGTTACTACGCATGCGTCGTTCCGGGCATGAGCCGGCTAATCGCAAGGGAACAGCATGGTTTGAAATCCTGTACAGCAATGTTGAAAGAGTCAGGGACCGCCGAACGGTTTTCATCTATACGGTTTCTAGAAGAGCAAAAGGATTTTGTTTCCCTTATCATCAATTTCACAAAACGATGAAGAACAGCGGCACAAGTGCCCCCGGTTCTTTCCTTTTCCCTGAGGGCAGCCACATGCAGCGACTCACACCTGGCCGTATGCGCCGCGGTCCAATACTGAATCGAAAAAAGGTACGCCGGTTATCAGACGGCCGTAGTACCCATGTGGAAGGCAAAACTGTGTAAACAAAGTGCAATCGTGAGACTGAACGACTAACAAATAATAAATGTGGGTACGACAGCAATCCGAAAGAAACGGCTGCGATCGTTGGTGTTTGTAGCCCCAGACATAAAGTTTTGGCGGGCCCATATCCCTGTACCGGCACTCCGGACATCCGCACCGCACCTCCACCATCGGCGGAGGTGAGGCGCTGACGCAGCGAAGGTCAGCCGCTGGCGTGGGTGCTACTTACCCATTCCTGCTGTGGTCACCTCCCGCCGGCTGCAGAAAGCAAGGAGAACGCAGCGTTAGTCGGGCCGACAAATCAGACAAGCGGCACACATGAAAGCAGGAACATGAACACTGGGTAAGCGTAGAAGGGTCCGACTAAGTCCAAGTCAATGTGATTTCTGGTGTGAGGAGGGCGCAGATAACCTATGCATTTGCCGCATCCCTAAAACCCCAGAGCAACGACGATGTGAGAAGCACATATAGCGTATGATCAAAGCAGCCGGTGCCGATTAAATATGCGTTCGTCATTATCTTAATGCTTTTCGTTATTTTTTTCCGAATAAGGTGTTTTTTTGAAGAGAAGTTTGAATGACACTGTGCGTTTCCTGCCTAGATGAGGAACACCATAATTAAAAGTTGTTTCCTGTCAAGGTAACTACAGCACTACGACCACACACAACACACTAAGACACAAATATATTTATCGTCCGAGTACGTATTGACGACCACCTTCGCAAAAGGTATAGCTTTTTTGAACAATTGGTGCTGTCAGTAAAAAGGTAGTAAAATACAAAAGTATGTAAGTAAAACAGGTAGGTGTGTCATCATTCGTAAACCAAACTGTATCATTGTTGCGTAACCAAAAGGAAAGTCGAATACCGCATCTTGCCGAGCCGAGGCGCATTGATAGGGATAACAAAATATAACAGTTTATGGCAAGAAAGCAAGACATCTCAGTTCAAATAGATTGTTGTAAGCTTGACATGACAGCTAGCCGCGGGTATGGTGGCCAAACCAAGCTTCTGCACAATGCATTATCGATTGTGCACGGCGACTCGTATGTGGCTAGTCCTGGGTCAGCAGGGGTCGCTACTCCTGCGCCGGTATGTGTACGCTATTCGCCACCACACTGTAATGGATGGTGCGAGCTGTCGGCCAAACTTCAGGCATACCGCCGAGAATGCACGCTATGACATTGACGTTGATTATGAACGCTAAATTAATCAAACCAAGGATCGTTAAACTTGCTGCATTTTCCCGCATAGATTCTTTGCAACTCACCCTGCGACGACGGGCCTCAAAAGCTGGCCTAGTTTTGCAGCCTGGATTTTTCCTTCATCCGAAATCGTCATTCATGGCTAATGAGCCTAACGACCCTCGAAGCTTGTGTGGCTGCATGCAGCTACCATATACTAGGACAGACTAGGGATTAGGCCAGTACGTGAATTCCTTAGGACTCCAACGGCGCATCTCCGGGGGGCATCCATTCTCCATTATCCCATGCCACATCGCTCCTAAACATGTGCATTTGCATCTGCCAAACGAGCTCAGGGCCGAACAGACACAAAAAAGCTGGCCCGCCCCGATCCGTGGACGGTTCATTGACCTGCCGGCCGGCATTCAGCGGCGCCCCGGGGTATCTCGGTCACCGGCGGCCGCCCCGCGCGCCGGGCCCCGCCCCCTCCGGGAGATGATCTGGGTCCGGCGGGGGTCGAGCCAGGGCCCCGTCCGGATCCCGCCCAGCCGCCGTCTCTGACCAGGCGGAAACCGCACACTTGGCTCTAATGAGTCGGCATTTCCTTCGGCCGATTGTAATGAGCACTATCGACTTCCTATAGCCGCGTGTGGTGATGGATACACAGCAGAGGAGGGGGGGGGGGGGGACGTGGAGCGCGAGGGTGGCCTCTTGTGTGGTCCATTACTGAGGCGCCAGAATGTTACCGGCAACACAGTAAACGACCTGCATGTAAATGATGCGTTGCGCAAGACCCTGTTGGAGCCTTTCGCGCATCTACATCAGGGTATTGTGTAGGGAACAATGGGGCATTACTGCTGTAGCATCGTTGGCAAAGTGTTTAACACCATGAAACTCAGTGTAAACGACAAAAACAGACAACATTCAATGCATTGGGCCTTCGATTCACAGAGAGAGAAAAAGACGCGTATAGAGGCGATTCTGAACATAGCTCCTCTTCTCATTCGGCACCACGTCTCACCTACCGCTGAGCGAAGGGCGTCGGACAAGGTCGAATGGCCGGTACCTAGCGCCAGCTGACGGGTCAATGTCGGACCGCGGTCACCTGACGGACCTCGTGCCAGGTGGCCTGGCTGTTTGGAGCCGTGGGGGGCAGCTCGCGGGACTCGTCCATATTTTGGTTTGCAATGAACAGTTTATCCCCGGCTAGATTCACTCTGGGCTGACGAGAGTTTCTACAACTGAGCCAGGCCCGCAGTCTTCAGGCCATTCGTATTTATTTTTGCCACTTGATAACGCATGTTTGCAACGCCCTTTCATCACGACCCAATGCCGGAAATCAAGTTTACCCTGAGCCTGAAGTATCAAGGTGCATCCATTTCCACGACGAACACGACACATGCTGGAGAGAGCGGTGACTGAACTACACCAAGCGCAACCCCCGGCACGCGGGCGTTCGATCGTCTCGCAGAGCCCGAGCTGCGTCCCTTGACGTGGCGCGGTCCCCCTCCTGTTGTGTGCACATTGCAGATTTGGAGCGGAGTGCGACTGGAAGCGTCCAGCGATGGCGTCCGGGCACGTGAAAGCATCCCCGGGCGACGAGGCGCCGTCGCTGCCGCTGGCTTCCGGCCCGCGCTCGCGGCGAGGTGCCGCCGCCGCCGCCGCGTCCCTGCGTTCCCGCCACCGCGGTCAGCGAGCGGGCGGCGCGGTCGCGGAAGCGCCGCCTGACCCCGTCCCCGTCAGGTGAGCTGTATTGATCAGCGGGAATACGGCTACCGCGCGCCGGCCGACGCCCAATCTAGGTCGGCCGCACGTAATCGATGCCTCAAACTCCGGCGCGGCCACGGCCCATTGCGAAAACAACCGACGCCTTCGGAAACGGAGAGGAATCAGCCGCGAACGCCGCGCAAGCGGGGCACGGCATTGCATCGTCGGCGAGGCGTGGTCATCGACGATTGTGGCGCACTGGCCACTCGCCAAGGTCGAGGGCGGGGCGGTTTTGAGTTGCGAGCGAGTGGCGCTGACGAAGTGCGGAGTGATTGGAGGCCTGCACCATGTCTCGCGGCCGCCATTTCGGACCAGTCGATGGCGCCGGATAGAGCGGCCGAGCCGGACAGAGTGCGGGGACCGGTCTCGCGTGTCGCCAGCGACACTGACCGCTCGCCTTCGGTACGCCTGGCTCCCCTGCACGAGCCGCACACAAATTATTAAGCGCCTTCGACCAATCGACGCCGTGGCACCCAGAGCGTGCTCGTTTCGGTGCTCGATTTAGAGGAACGTCAAAGAGGTGCACCGGACTCGAGTGAGATATCAATGCGAGTGGGAGTGTACGATCAGCAGACCATTCCGAGTGGAGTGCACGGACTCGAGTTAGACCGGGCCGAGTGGAGTGTACATACTCTGAAGTGAGACCAGGCAGAGTGGAGTGCAGAGGACTCGAGTTAGACCGCCGAGTGGGAGTGCACGGACCTCGATTTAGACCGGCCGGTGGAGTGCACGGACTCGAGTTAGACGGGCCGAGTGGAGTGTACGATCAGCGTTGGCCAGCCAAGTCAGAGTGCTGCCCCGCGCGTTCCGCCGCTGTGCCGCCGCCTCTCACTCTCCGCGATATGATTGGACTCCTGGGACTTGCAATCGTCTCCTTGGCGCTCCTTGAGCGTCTTGAGCAGCTTCCACTTGGCGGTGGGCAGCTTGTCGTCGGCCGAGCCGTCGCCGGCCTGCGCCGAGCTCGACTCGGTCGGTTGCCCTGGCGCCCTGTCGTCCATCTCCTCGGTGACGATGGTCGGGATCTGGTAGGTGACGGTGGGCGCCTCGGCCTCCTCGTCCGAACTGTGCGCGCGCGGCGAGTCTGGCCCGCTCGTGTCGCCCGACGAGTGCTCCTCCTCCTCCTCGGCGGTGGGGCTGACAGCGCCAGGCCGGCGCGGCTCGGCCAGCTCGCGACCGCCGCTCGTGCCCGAGCCGAACGCGCTCTCGTCGTCCTGTAGCGGCGTCTCCTGCGACTCGCTGTGCCGAAACGAGCTGTGCCGGCTGTCGGCCGAGAAGAAGGCCGACTCGGCCGAGCGCACGCTCGTGCTCAGCTCGTCCTCGGCGTCGACGGAGAGCAGGTGCGCGTCGCGCGACTCCTGGCTACCCTGGCCGTTGGGCGCGCTCCACTCGCCGCGCCGGTCTGGCTGGTCCACGCAGCCGCCGCGCTGCAGGTGCCGGCGCGCCTCGCCTCGTGCCGCCTCGTCGCGCGCGCGCTGCTCCTCGTCACGCGCGCGCTGCTCGGCCGCGCGGCGCCGCTCGCGCTCCGCCACGGTCTGCACAAGCTGCGCCAGCACGTCGTGCATCTGGCTGTGCACGGCCAGGTCGGGCTCGGCCGGGTACGCCTCGTCCACGCGCGCCTGGTGCATGCGCTGCTCGTGCTCCAGCACCTCCAGATACTTGAGCTCGTGGCGATACCACTCGTCATCCGAGTCGATGCTGTCGTCGGTGCTCTGGCGGCGCGAGGAGACGCGCGAGCTGCGGAGCGAGCGCAGGCTGCGATTGTCGTCGTCCTCCGAGAACGTGCGCTGGTTGGGCAGACCAAGCAGCTGGCGTGCCGACTTGTCCGAGTTGCTGTCCACCGAGTCCTGCCGGTCGGTGCTGCCCATCGAGTAGAGCGGGAAGTCGCGGCGCGGCGAGCGCGGCGAAAGTCCGTTGCGTGAGTGGTTAGCGCGCGGGCTCGCGGCCGCCGTACCCGGACCGGCGGCCAGGAAGTCCTTGGAGAGCGACGTGAACTGCTCCTTCAGCCGCTGCAGCGTGATTTCGTTGATGGCGCGCTCGGGTGTTTCCGGCGGCGGGGCCGTTTCCGGTGACCCGTCGCCGGCAGCCTTCTCGACGCCGGCCAGGCCGTCCGCCGCCGCCGGGACCAGCGCCGCCGGCGCCGCTGTTTGTGTGGGCGGCGGCGAGCCGTCGCCAACTTTCGGACGAGGCTGCGATGCTTGCCGGCCGGGCGGCTCGACGGCGCCGGGCGGCTCGGCGGCGTCGACGCTGCTCTCGTCGGCCGACAGCGAGCTCTGCCGCTGGCGGTAGCGGGCCAGTGCGCGAGACACGG